TATTTTTATTTATTTATGATAGACATAGCACGAGAGAGAGAGAGGCAGAGACACAGGCAGAGGGAGAAGCAGGCTCCATGCCAGGAGCCCGACGTAGGACTCCATCCCGGGACTCCATCCAGGGACTCCAGGATCACGCCCTGGGCCAAAGGCAGGCGGGAAACCGCTGAGCCACCCAGGAATCCCCTAATGATCCTATTTTATATTAAAAAAAAAACAAAAACAAAAAACAAAGGAGCACTTAAGGTAATACACTCAGTTCAGCAACTGACTGTTGGTTTTGGCTCAGGTCATGATCTTAGGGTTGTGAGATCAAGCCCCATGTCAGCTTCTGTAGATAGCATGGAGTCTGCTTGAGATTTTTGCTCTCCCTCCCCCTTAATGTTTCCCCCTGCTCTTGCATATGCATACACATTCTCTCTCTCTCTCTCTCTCTCTCTCTCTCTCTCTCTCTCTCTGAAATTAAATAAATCTTTTAAAAAGTAAAGCAAAACCAGTCATTGAATTTCCCTAGCTTTTTGACAATCTCTGATCCAAAACTGGACCCCATGGTTTTAAATCCTCTCTATAACCATACAATACCCCTTAAATCTTATAAGAAGCTCCTAAAACTTTCCTTTACTAAGACAACCTGTAGTTCCTCTGGAGTGCATTCTCTCAGCTGTAGTATTAAGTGAAATAAATCTAACTTGGACTAGAGGGTTTTTTTTCCTAGTGTTCTTTGGTCGATGGGACCAGTTGTTTAGATCATTTGACTAGCTGAAAGGTGGTGCTAAGGTACATTGAAGAGCAATATATGGAAGAAAACTGACCATTCCATTTTGAATATATTGAGTGTAGGGTACTTTTGAGAAATTCAAGCAATGTTAAAGAAGCATTGTGTGTTTAGGGTCTTTATAGAACAAAGGGAATACAAGTTTAGAAGTTATTAACATATCAATGGAAATCGAACCTATGACATGGATGAGATACTCAGTGCAAAGAGCATAGGAAGAGAAGAATGGGGAAACTAGGACTGAATCTTTAAGGACTCAAGTATGAAGATTCTGTAGAGGAGAAAGCACATTCAGAGATAAATCAGACCAATTATGTATCATCATACGAACCACAGAAGAAGATATTTCAGGGCCTATAGAGTGACCAATGGTTGAAAACATTTGAGAGATCAAGTTAAGAAGTTAAGAAGAGAATGGAAAATTTTCCTTTGGAGTTCACTGATATTTTTTGTGAGAGATTTTTCAGAATTTTGATGGAAGGAGAAGCCAGATTAAGTGGATGAAGAGTAAGTATGAGGTAAGCAAAGTGAAAAAAGAGGTAGGTCTTCTAGAAGAAGGGGCAGTGTGGTAATGCTATATATAGTGTTAAAAGAATAGATTCTAGAGAGAGACTGATAGAGTTCAAATTCTAGTTGTGTCCCTCCTAGCTGTGTCACCTTGGTTAGGTTACTTAAATGATTTATGCCTCATTTTTTTCATCTGTCAACTGGGAGAAAATAATAACAGATCACTTGGGTTGTGAGAAGGGAGATCTTTGTAAATAGTAACTTCTCAATAAGAATTAGCAACAATTATTTAAAAAACACGAGACAGGATGCCTCCATAGGGGCCTGAAAGTAGATTGATGTGAACAGTGAGTATGAAGAAGAGACCACAAAGAGGCTTGACAGGATTCTAGATCTAGAAGACCATGAATGCCCTGCCTAAAGAACTACATTTCCTCTCAAGGCAGAAGGATCCATTGAGGAGTTGAAGAAGAGAGTATGCGTTTATGTTCCTATTTTAGAAAAATCACTGTGACTATAAGGGTAGAGGATGGACTATACGGCTAGGGAGTAGAACCAAGCTGAAGGCCAGGACAGCAGTTAAGAGCCTATTTCAGAAACCTAAATGCAAAGTGATAAACTGGCTTATGGCAGAGGAAATAGAAATGGAAAGAAAAAAATAATTAATTCAAGGGCTCAAATGACCATGACTTGGGTTACTGATTGTGTATCACAGGTAAGGGAGAAAGTGAAGTTTAGGTTACTCACCCTTTATATCCCCCCAAGTTTCTAGTTTGGGAGGCTAGCTGTGTAGTAGGCCATTTCCTGAGGAAGAAAGTCTAGGGTTGCTTGAGAATTAGGAGGATTATTGTTCAATTTTGAATATGCTGTGTCTGTGCAACACCCAAATAATAAATATATCTAATATGCCTAAAACCCATAGGGAAGTTAGAGCTCAAGATCCATAAATGGTTTTCTAAGTTATGGGTATTCAAGTGGTATATCTAGAGAGAGAAGAATACTTGAAAAAAATTATTCAGAAAATTTATATAGGAAAATAACATCAATTGACAGTAAACACATATTAAGCTTCAGGAAAGGTAGTGAAAAAGGTGGTGAAAAAGATGATGGCACAGGGTAGTTGGTTTTCTCTAAAGAAGGATTTCCAGAAGGCCTCAGTGGAAAAGGATAGCAGCAGTAGAATGAGTAAGAAGGAGGGAGAATATATATAGCAGTATAGACTTAAAAGCATGATGGGCTAACTGATTGGAGATGCATATGTTTTGTTCAGGCGACAGAGCAAAGGCATGTAGTTCCAGGTCTTTTGGTAATTCCCAGGTCGTAAGAGGCCTCTGGTGGTCACTTTCTGTGAATGATACTGTACACTTAGCTCAAGTCAAACCCCTTTCCTTACCTTCTAGCCTGGTGACCTCTCCTCATATTTCATGACCCACCTCAAATGTCACTTTCTCTGGAACTCTTCACTCTTCCCCAAGTGACCTTAGCAGGCTTGATTATTTCTTCTTCTAAATTTCCACCGTATATTGGTATTCCTGTGTCATTGTAAGTAAAATATTCCCACTCTACAGTGGAGTTCAAAGACATGGACATGATTTTCCCAAGGGGACCCAGGTCTTCTGACTCCCAAGATCAGTACTATTTCATTATATCACTGCTCCCCTTCTCCTCCAGGAACAGAGAGGAACCTCATGACTATAAACTTCTAGCCACTATAGGAATTTGTTTGTTCATTTGGTTAAGAAAGTGTGTAACGGCCTGTGTTAGGTAAGGTTTGGGTGAAGGGAGAGAGACTTTGCAAAGTAGAATTCAGTCCCCTTTGTCAACATCTTACTTTTCCAGCAGATCACCCACCTTGCTTTTCTCCTGCCCTCCTTCCCACAGGCTTATTTAAAGAGATCCTTTCTTGTTCTAATGGTAGTTCTGTTATCTGTGCTCCAAAGTCCTGACCCACAGTTCTACTCAACAAGGGCAAATACCTAAAAAAATAAAATATATGTTTGAGAAGGAAAAAAAGGACAATTACCACTACCCTCTGTGTCCTGTATCAATATCATCCCCTCCTTCCTTGCCTTTATATTATAAAGATTGAGGTTAAGATTGTGGTTGAGGGGAAGCTACAACTCTATGTCTCTACTTTGTGCCTTCATTTATTGCCAGCTCACAGCAACCAGATGCCTCTTTGCCATCCCAGCAACTGGCCAGTGCCTTAGCTGGCATCCATATCATTAGACCCAGAGGACTCTTTGTTGACATGCCATGGTATCTGCCGTTATTGAGGATTCCCGTCTTTAAACTTACATAAACTATAGATGTCATTCTTGACCACTTTTTGTTTTTTCTTTTTGCCCATATCTCCTGCCAAAGGATGAACCTGGGCAGCCATATTTTATTCCTAAGATCACAGGTGATAGGAGTGGGAGTAGAGACACCTGGTCATAGTAGCCTAGATCCCTGATGTGACCTGACTCAAAAAGAAGCGTCAGACCTATCAGATTCTCTTTCTTAGGAATTAGAAATAGAAAACACTGGCATGGGAGCTAAAAGGTCATGATGTATAAAGAGATTCTGGAAGCAACATTTGACCTTGTGAAACCAAAATTGTGAGGGTCAGAAACTACAAATGAGCAGAGGAAGAGATCCTGAAACAGAAGAAAGAGAATACAGAAAGAAACAGGCCATAAGATTCAGGGAGGTGGAGAGGACACGTGACCCCCAGGAACCTCCTTCCCAGAAGCCAAAAGAGCCACTTCTCTAGAGTTTTCTCCTTCCACTATTTGTTCCCTCCCAGCCTTCTTTGCAGACTGTTCTCTATTTGTCATTTAAATATATTTGTTTTTCCTTTGAATGCTCTGTGTTGGGCTTTTTTCAATCCACACACTTTTCAAGAAACGTCATGGCCTCCACAACTGCCTGTGTCTCAAGAGGCCCACTCAGATTTAATTTTTAGGCTAACTCTCGCTCCTGAATCTCTCTCCTGAGCTTTTAGTCATGTTTACCCAACTGCCTGATGGACATTGCCATTCCCCATGGCTGTTCCCCTAGCATCCCAAGATCAACATGTCCAAAATTAAACTTTCCTGTCAAACCAACTAAAATCACCCTAGACTCCTCCCTCCATCCAAATCATTTAAGTATGAAGTCATTGTCATTCAACCACTTACATTTTCCTCACCATCTCTCCTCTCCTCGCTCCTGCTACTCTGTCGCTCGGTTCAGGGCCTCATAAATACCCTCCTGGTTTCCTTGGCGTCAGCCTCCTACCCCTGCCTGTAACTCTTCTATGGCCTTCCCATTTTCTTACAGGAAAATCCAAGCTCTTTAACATGGCATCCTAGTCTTCCATGATGCTTTTCCTGGTTACTTCATCAACACAATCTTTGGCTGCACTCCATCTACCACAGTTCCAAAGCGTCTAGACTTTCTGTGATTCCCACAATATCTCAAGTGTTGTCTACATCTGGACTTTGCCTTCACTGATACCTCTTCCAGGAGAGCTAACATCCCTTTCTCTTCTAGTCAACACTTTTCCTACATCATCCTTCAATATTTATGATCTTGCCTCCACATATAAATCACTATCTTTTTTTATTATGTCCCGACTTCACTGTGTACAGAGGAACATGACACTATTGCACTTACTTTTAAATGGTTTGTATCTCTCTGTCCATTCCTGGAGGGGCAGAAAACATACCATTTTTACTGTTTGTCCTATGCCTAGCAGTGAATACGTTCAGAACATGCTGTGGAGAAAAGGAAGGAAATGAATACACTGATCCTCCATGGGGAAAATACTGCCTTTCCTCTGAGAGAAAAGAATAATGCCAGGTAAGTGAAGCCATGAAATTTTATGGTCATGATTAAAATGCCTACCAAGAGCAACAACAAAATTCTTCTCCTACCCAAGAGCAAGAAAAGGCACCATCCTCTTTCTCAGAAAGTGTAATGTCACCTCAGTAATTGGAAGTGGAAACCTCTAAAAGGTAGGCAGTCTGTTTCCCAACTGAGCAAGATGAAACAATTTCCCGGACTAAACAGAGCCCTGGACTAAACAGAAGCCATTAAAAATATAAAGATTTTACATCTACAGTCTTATCTTTATGAGAATATCAGGGATATGAGGCTGGAATTCACTCCATTTAGGTCCTGATAAACAAAGTGAAAATGGAGCCCATCACAGAGAAAGGTCCCAGTATCCTGGCGGACACAGGCAGGAAAGACTGTCACAGCTGATAAGAGTGCTAAAGAGTCAATTAGTCCCTAATTACCTGAGCAGCCCCTGCTGCTGCCTGGCTTGAGGACAGTTTAAATAGGAATGTCTCTTAGGAACAACAATCTCTGTTTAGGATGTAATGAATGACTTATTCAATCCAGGATGGGAGAGGACCTCGCTGCTCTAGACTGGGTCCCCGCGGCTGAAGTGCTAAAGAGATCCAGGCTATGAGCCTGCATCTGAATATCAGATACGGTATCTTTACTGTTGGCCCATGGTGTCTAAGTGCGTGATCATGCACCACCCACCAGTCTAGGAGTGAAGGAGACTGGCTACAGCCTTGGAGACACATGATGGAGAAGACACAGAGCCTGTGGAGGGCGCCCTGAAGAAGGCACAGGAAATAGGGAGGGGCCCTTTCAAAAAGGGCTCCACTGGCCAAGGGCTCAGCACTTAACAGCTTCTGGGAGAGAAGAAGGACCTCAGAGAAAATGCCTGTTAGACTGGTAAATGCAAGCTGAATATTCTTTTTTTTAAAATATTTTTAATTTTTTTCAACTTATTTATTTACGATAGTCACAGAGAGAGAGAGAGGCAGAGACACAGGCAGAGGGAGAAGCAGGCTCCATGCACCGGGAGCCCGAAGTGGGATTCGATCCCGGGTCTCCAGGATTGCACCCTGGGCCAAAGGCAGGCGCCAAACCGCTGCGCCACCCAGGGGGATCCTAAGCTGAATATTCTAATCAAGAGTGGGAAGCTGTTTGGGCTTCTGCACTGTTGAGAATGATGGTCTTCCTTGACACATCCCAGGGGAGTTGGGGGTAGGCAATGCATCGTTCCTCCCTGGGCCATTCTTCTGCCCCAGGGCTCCAGGCAGAGTTGAGTTGGATGCTTGCTCATGTATCCTCTGTGTGAAATAGTCTCTTCCCATTCTAGTTACTGCTTTCTTATTCTCCAGGTATCCTCATATGCGTCAATTCCTGTGGGAAGCATTTGCTGATACTCGGCCCACACCTCCACCACCATCCAAGTGAAGGGTAAGAACATCATCTTACTCCCATGTATGCTCATTAGGGCACATAGACTGTAAATTGCCATGCCTACTTCCTTATCTGCCTAGTGGAACCTAAATTCCCCAAAGGTGGGAACCATGTGACATACCTTTGAATCTCCAGATTCTGACCTGCAGCATTGTCTAATCTCACATGTTTAATAAAGGCTTTTTGAACCTTTCTTAATAAGATGCAATAATATACAATATATTATAATTATATATAGTATAAGATGAAATAAGGCAGAGCTGGTAATATTGCAGTAGTCTAAACTGAAGCCATAAAGACACTTTTAATGGGAGACAACCTAAGCAGTAGGTCTGTGAAATGGGAGTACAGAGGACAAAACCAATTTCTGTGCCACAGACCCCTTTGGCCATCTGGAAATATCTTTGGGCCCCTTCTCAAACATTTTCTTTTTTCTTTTTTGTTAAACATTTTCTTTTAAATACAAACTGAAATACATAATACGACAAAGCAAACCAGTCATACTGAGATCATTATTAAAATAATTTTTTAAAGTTATGATTTAGTAGTATGTGTATGTTTCTTTATTAACTCACAGAATAAAAAGATCAAGTAGCAGTTCTAAAAACTATGATTTTTAAGTAACAATAAATGTCAGCAAACAGTATTTGAAGATACTGGCCACAACTGTAATGTGACATGAAAATATCTGACCTTCTGTTGGCAAGAGTTGCAGGTACTGCCAATACTGCTGAGGTTTGTTGTCCACATTTCTAATGGAAGAAAACCCTAAATTAGAATTAGCAATTAGTGAAAATAAAGAAGTACATTTTCTCCAAGATCCAAGAACATGGGTGCCCTGAATTCTATCTGTGGGTCCCCTACGGTCAATAAACCCCCTGTCTGTGGAACACAGGAAAACAAAACACCTAAAATAACTACCAAGAATAGCAGTTCTTTCATCTTGGAGAAATGGTATCTTCTTAAATCAGTGCAGGTCTTTATCTACATTCTATAGTAAACAACTGTTTCAGAGGGACTTAGGTTTCTGAAGATAGCAGTATTCACTTTATGTAAAATATAACAGTTTACAAGACTTACTAGAAAACCACAATAATAATAGCAGGGTAGTAATTTGTTTAAGGATAGTTATATAGATGAATGGCACAGACTAGTGAACTCAGAAATCGACCCACACTTGTTCGGTCAGTTGACTTTAGACTAAGGTGCCAAAGCAGTTCAGAGGGTTTAAATATTTTTTTCAACAAGTGTTGCAAACAACTCCCTCTCAGAAAGAAAAACCAAAAAAGCTTAATTAACCCTTACCACATACAAGTGGTAAGCATACAAGTTACTCAAAATGGATCTTTGTCCTGAATGTAAAAAACTACTAGAAGAAAACATAGAAAAAAATATTTGTGACCTTGGGTTAAGGAAAGGTTTCTAGGCACCAAAAACATGAACCATAAGTGAATATTTCACAAATTAGACTTCACCAGATTTAAAATGTATGCCCTTTAAAAGACACTGTTAAGAAAATGAAAAGACAAAAAATAAAATAAAATAAAATAAAATAAATAAAATAAAATAAAAAAAGAAAATGAAAAAATAGGCCACAGATTGGTTTAAAAAAAATTTTTTTTTGCAAAGCTCCTACAGGATAAAGAGTTTGTATTCAGAATACATTAACAATTAGACAAAAAACTCAGTTAAAAGAGAGGCAAAAGATGTGAACAAATATTTCACCAAGGAAGATACACAAGTAGCAATGAACACATATAAGGATATTTATCATTATTCATTAGGAAAATATGAATTAAAAGCACAAGGAGACAGGGAGATACCACTATACAACCTTTCAGATGATTAAAAATTAAAAGGATTGATAATATTGTTAGAGACCACATAAAACAACGAGAGTTCTGAAGATTGCTCATGCAAATGCAAATGATACAGTTATTTTGGAGAACAGTTTGGCATATTTTTATAAAGTTAAACATATACTTACCATATGACCCAATAATCCCACTCATAGACATTTGCCCAAGAGAAATGAAAACATATGTTCACACAGCAAATGTTAATAGTTGCTTTATTCCTACAGCTGAAAGTCTATCACCAGCAGAATGGATAAAATTATTGTGATATATTCATACGATGGAATACTTCTTAGCAACAACAAGCAATGAACTACACATACGTGCAACAACATGGATGGATTTCAAAAGCATTACCCTAAGTGGCTAAGTGAAATAAGACAGATACAACAGATTACATTCTGTATGGTTCCATTTACATAACATTCTAGAAACGTCGAAACTGTAGAAACAGAAAACACATTGATGACTGGTTGCCAGGGGGCTGTGGATAAAGGAAGGGATTGTCTACAAAGGGGCATACGGAACTTCCTGGGGTGATGAAAATGGCCCATATGTTTGTCAAATTTATTAAACAGTACACTTAAAAATAGGGTCAATATTATTGCATATAAATAATTGTACCTCAGTAAAACTTGACTTTTAAAAAAATTCTAAAGTTTTATCGGAGAGACATTATGAATGATATTTTGTTACTAGACCTAAATTGTCCTTTCAGAGAATACAGCCTTAGAATTTTCCCTCAAAATGAAAGACATTTGTGCATATTCTATAGAGGGGAACAAATATGCATTGGCTCAGTGTCTTGTTGAGTTTGTATGCTATTTGGAAATTGGATTGCTTTGACAAATTACTTGCTAGCCAGGAAAAGCATTAAAGGATTATTTGTCCACCACGATTTCAAATTTTCCCCTAATGATAAAATCATTTGAAATAAAAGGTGACAGCCAAAGTAGTTTTACTCAGGGAGATATTATTTCATATATAGACATGTAAGAAACAGTATAAGCAAGAAGAGGAAATATAGTCTAATTTTTAAATTGTTACACTTACTTTAAGTATTATAAATAACAGCAACAAACGATTTCAGTCCTAAATAGCACATATTTCAGATTTCCTTATAAAAGCTTCTCAACTTAAAGACTTGAAATCACATGTGAATGTGGGTGTTTAAACTTCACTTTGCAATTTGAATCTTTACTTTTCAGGCCACTTTAATGCCTATTTTAATGCTTAACTGTTTGAGGATACTGTTGGATTATATCGCTGTTTTTACCTGTTTGTGTGCTCTAATGTTTTCCTACTGTGCTATAGAATATTTTGCTTTAATAGCATTCTATGTATTTCAAGAACTTCTTTGTAAATAAGTGATGTGTCTTTCAATAAAACAACTTGGGGAAGCCTTAAAATCTTCATAAAAGCAGTGTCCTTCATTTACTTGTTAATAGAACATTAACATTGTCTTATCCAAAATAATTTTTTTCATTCATAGTTCATAGATTGAAGAACCAACTACCACTTACATTTTAAATGAGTTCCTGTGTAACTGCCAAATTAAATGAATTAATTTTTACCTTTGGGCCTTGTATTGTCATAATATTAGTTATTGTTTTAATGAATTGTCATAATATTAGTTATTGTTTTAATGATAATTTATTTTATTTTTTTTATTCAATTTTTTACCAGAAAGTCCAAACTAACTTCAGATATGTTTCATTTTTTCCAAAGATATGTTTGATCTCCAAGTAAGTGATTACTGTGTTTACATGATGTCTATTCTTTTGTATATCTAGATCTGCTGCTAATGCACTAGCTACTAGCCATATGGGCTTATTTACATTAGTTAAAATGAAATAAAAGTTCCATTTCTCAGTCACTAGACAAATTTCATGTGGTCAATAGCCATATGTGGTTTGTGTTTATCCTATTAGAGGGCACAGATATGTAATACTTCATCATTGCCATAGTTCTATTGGAAAAGGGGGACTAAATCAGGGTCAGGAAACTTTTTTCATAAAGGGCTAAGTAGTAATATTTTAGAATTTATGGGCCAACAAACAAAACTAAGGTTGCTATTTAGGTACTTAAATTACCATTTGAAAAATATATCCACTTAAAGATATAAGAAAAAAAAATCAACATTCTTAACTTGATGGATGAAAAAAGGAGGCAACAGGCTGGATTTGAGCCATAGTTTGCCTACCCCTGGTGTAGATCTTTCAGTCCTTGATTCATTTAAGCATATCTTTATTGAGTACACCTATGTTTTAGCCTCTGTGCTAAATATTAAGCAAAGTGTAGTGAACAAGAAAACATAGTTCCAGACCTTATGGAATTCAGAATATAATAGGAAAAGCTAACAAAAATTGCACAATCAATTATATATATAACAAAAATTGCACAGTTAATTATATATATATATATTTTAAAGATTTTATTTATTTATTTGACAGAGAGGGAGAGAGAGAGAGCACAGGCAGGGGAGGAGCAGAGGGAGAGGGAGAAGCAGGCTCCCCACCGAGCAGTGAGCCCTTTGTGGGGCTCCATCCCAGGACCCCCCAGGATCATAACCTGAGCCAAAGGCAGAAGTTTAACTGACTGAGCCACCCAGGCGCCCCTAATCAATTATTATAATTTAACAAATGAAAGAGATAAATAGGATGTTATAAAAGGAACAGAGGAACCTAAACTTGTGTGAAAGACTGACTTGCTAAAATTATAAATTATCTGCAACTAATATTAATTTGTAATATATGGCAACTATTCTTTATTATAGACTTTCTAGTTTGACCTATGTGAGGAAGATGCTATAAAAACTGACAGATCTAGATAATATTTCTAAATAGATTTATGTTTAAATACATGACATTCCTGTATACCATCTGTCTGTTTTATATATGTGAGGTTAGAGTACATCTAAAAAATGTATTTGCTAAAATAACATTTATTGATGTTTGGTAGTTTATTTTCCTCTACTAGAATCTTTTATAAGAATTAAAGTGTATAAATTAAATGCTCCCTTGTACCCAGGAAAACTTTGTGGCAAATTAACTTATAAAATGGCCCCAGTTTCCTTTCTTGTTTATAATCGAAATTTGAATTGAGCCCTCCGTTAAACAAAACAATATGATGCTACTTTAACAATTTTTTTAGAACCTACCTTTTTTTTTCATTATGAGAACTCAGTATATAAATCAGCAAAATAAAATAAAATAAAATAAAATAAAAATATATGCTGTACTATCTTCCCATGTATTGACAGTGTTCCTCAAGATCTTACTTGGTTTTCTGAGACTTTAATTGCACTTTGCAGTTCATAGAAAGGTGGCCTCTTTTATTGTGATGTCAAGAACTTTAGATAAATCTGTTTAACCACTGAGCATGTGAGAGAGACCTGAGTGAGCAGAAGCCATGCTCAATGGAGCTCATGCCTCGACTGACAAATAGGCCAAGCTGAAGTGGTTCAGAGATTACGTCATGGGCCACATACCTGCTTTGTTTCAATAAATAAACCCCAGGCTGTGAAATATGGCTGATTATACATAGAGATGAGGATGAACTAAAGGGAATGAAAGATTTTCTGAGATCATGACATAGAGTTTTAATTCTTCAATTTCACTGTAGTTAACAGGCCCAGGAACTCATGCTTCTGCCGATCTAGGTTTAAGTTGTTCTTTCAGGGTGACAAATGAGGTACACCAAGAAGCTAGAATTTCACATTCCCTTCATGGCTTCTTAGAACAGTGCATGTTGGGATAAAGCCAAGAATAGTGGCGTTTAAAAACAAGTTTAAAATAAAACAAAAAACAGTGACCGAATCCATCAAGAAATGATTTCCACTTTTGAGTCACTCGCTGCTGCTCAGCTCTTCTATCACATTCACACGGTTTTCAGCACAGAGCTGCTACTATTATTCTTTAATTCAACTGTGTATATAAATTAAAGATTCTGGCTCCTTCAAGGCAGATATTCTGAATTCATCCTTACTAAGAGAGACAAAAATGTTACACCTACTTAATCCAGATTGAAGGCCCCAAGCAGGAATCAGTTCTTAATGTCATCTGGGGTGGAGTCATATTGACAACTGGCATACATTTACTGCATGGAGCATGGGACTTCTTCCGAGCGCCCAGTGGCCAGTCTGTAGATGGGCTCATCCTGGGCTTCCTCCATCTGAGACTCCTTTGGTCTCCAGGACAGAGCCTGGCCCTCTTCACTCACACAGTACCATCACCGCGGAAACCGAGGTTGCTCCTGTGATGGTTTCCATTTGCTGGAATCTTAGACACAGGACAGGTGCTTATACAGAAGTGGAAGAGGGACACAGTCGGCTGCTGCAGTCGTAGGAGGTGGTGAGGTAGGAGCAAATAATTGGCTGCCTTGAATCTCCCCCACCCTTTGTTTCTGTAATAGCACCTGTGTCAGTTGGATCACTGTGTCCTAATCCTTATGCTTGAGACTCCACTGTACCAAGACGTCACTTGGCACAGGTTCAGACTACTTGCATTTTACCCACATGTTCCACTATTATTGATCACCGAGACCCTTCACATTTCCTTTTGAGTCCTTTAGCCCAGAAGAAATCTAAAAGATTTGCTGGGGTCTCTTTTCCCCAGCGGAAGCTCCCTGCCTCAGCCAAGATGAATTCTCAAACCGTAAGCAAAATGATGGCCAACAATTGCCAGCTTATTTCAGAAAGTGGTTCTCCTTTCTCTGGAATTTTTCTTTATCCTATTTCCTTACTCTCTGATATCATTTAAAATATGTGTTTTATAGTTTTTATCCTTTCTTTTTTTGGTTTTGCAGTGAATGTGTTGGCTTGTCACTACCTGTTCTATCCTGCCTGAACGCAGATGTATTAAATTTAACATGTTGACATTTGTTTAATCCACCTAATTAATGCCTCTGTTCTGTATAGCAAAGCAGAAACCTATCACAATGTAGTCTCTTTGGTGAAGGGACATAAATGACTATAAAGTTGTGCTTTGTAGAATTTGAAAACAAAGTATAATCATATTCCTTGGTATATATTTGAAGATACCACAAAAATACACAAAACTGTTTTAAAAAATCAAAAGTGTGCAAAAAAACAAAAGTTGAAAGTTGTCCGGTTATGATGACCTATCTTTTTTAATACAGTGACAAATATAAAGTTTAAATATATTTGTTACTATTTACTAATATGTTTTATTAAGATATGTACTTTATGAATAAAATGTTTAGGAACTCACTTTCCACTTTCATTTATATTCTTTTAAACTTTGAGCAGCAGGGCTCAAAGGAAAAGATTGAAGCTTGTTAACTGTTTTCACACATCTCCTTCCTGTCCACTTCACGTACACACACCGCCACCCACACATACAGACACAAATGTCATTTAACCACATGTGAATTTTGCCAGCCTACTGTATTCTGTTGGATGCTGTAAAGGCACAGATTAATATTCTTACCTATCCTGTGATTTTTTTTTAGTATGTCCTTTTTATTTTGGAATAATTTTAGATTTACAAAAAAGTTCCAAAAATAGAATTCCCGTATGCCGTATCACCCAGTTTCCTCTAATGTTAACATCGTAAAGTCCCACAGTGCATTTGTCAAAGCTAAGAAGCCAACATCGGTACATTACTATTAACTCCAGGTTTTATTCCTACTTCCAACAGTTTTCCACTAGTATCCTTTTTTCTGTTGTATGATATAATCCAGGATACTACATTATATTTAGTGTTTTGTGATTTTGTGTCAATTGATGTCTTATAAAGCTCCACATTTAAGAATTCAGTGTCTGTCCTTATATATAAGTAATTTCGTTTGAGCATTGTTTTCGAGTGCCAAAATGCCATGTTTTTCACACTCCAAACTCCTAAGCAGGCCTCTGAAGACACCTTGTCCTTTATTTATGACACTATATATTAAACTAACTGAAAATATTCAAAATAATGCTTACTTTGTGCAGAGTCCATGAACTCCAACCAGAACACATAAAAGTCAAATTTGAGCAATAAATTTTGATTGATTTTGAAATTCCATTTAAGGCGCTATTTTCTGAATAGATCCTCACGGAAAATATATTAAAATATTGTTTTATAAAAAGTTGTTTCCTATGGGATCTAAAAGTTCTTTAGGTAAATTTTTTTGTAAAATATCTGAACAGTTTAAATACTATTTCAGATTGTCAGAATGACGAATGTTTTTTAATTACTTTATTACAATGATTTTGCATTCAAGTCTCAGTACTCTGAACATAATTTTTTTTTTTCATTTCAACTAAACAACTGGCATTTTCCTGTTTTGTTCTTTTCCTCATTGTGTACTCCGAACCACTTTCAAATTTAAAAAGGGCTTTTTATTTAGGGGCTATTAGTGAATGTGCATAAGCCATTTTATTCAGTGAAATAAGCATTGTGTGATTGAAGATTAAATAAGGGAGCGGATTATGGTTCCATTAAAGGCATCAAGATATTCCTGGAAAAGCTATGAAAATATGCTTTTCCATTAAGGAAGAACACTTATCAATGGTGCTGGTCTGGGTAGAGATTGCCTACTATAATATAAAGCAGACATTTCTTATAAGGCGCATGAGGAGGGCATTAGGCTTAAACATAGTGTAACTATCTGCCAGGTAGGAATTCAACATCTAAAGGTTAACTTTGTCACTGGCGTCAACTACAGATAACTGCAGAGCTTGACACCAGTTCAAGGGTGCAGCCATGATTCTCATTAAAGGTCTGGACCTAGAGATCCACTTGGAAAAGTTTGGAATTAGATGATTTAGCCTTGAGAAAAAATTGCTTAAGTATGGGTCACACCCTTGTGATTTGAAGTCTTAGTTTGTTTGACCCAGATGACAAGTTTTATTTATTTGTTTTTAGTATTTGGGTTAATTGTTGAACTTTTAAATATTGGGAAATTACACTACTAAAATGTGAATTGCACTCATTTCTACATGTCAGTAATAAGGTAGAGATGAGGAGCAGGCCCGTTTTTCTTTTTAAATATTTTTTTAATTTGTATTTATTTATGATAGGCACACAGTGAGAGAGAGAGAGGCAGAGACACAGGCAGAGGGAGAAGCAGGCTCCATGCACCGGGAGCCCGATGTGGGATTCGATCCCGGGTCTCCAGGATCGCGCCCTGGGCCAAAGGCAGGCGCCAAACCGCTGCGCCACCCAGGGATCCCCAGGCCCGTTTTTCAAGGGGGCACGCCCTCTCCCGCTGAACACAGTCCCCACCACACATGATAGTTTCTTTACCCTGCAACCATCGATACCATCACAGCTTACCATGTTTTCCTATGAGAAAAAGGCTCTGTTTCCACGGTGTTATTCAAAGTAGAAAAAAAGAACTGAGTTTGAGAAGACAGTGTTCTCCTTTCAGTGATG